GCTGTTGCTGTTGCTGAGCTCGTTTGTTATTTGATTTTATTGTATGCATGCTCTTCTCATATAGGCAATACTTGTTTATGCGGTACATTCTGTATTGAGGATCGAGATAAGCACTACGCCTATCAGCTGCAATGACAGCAAAATACTCTCGCTCTGCCAAGAATATACAAATGTAGAATGTAAATATATATATATACATATATAAATATTACATATTGACTGTGGCCAGATCTAGATCTTCTAGATCTTACCTATGCAAATTATATGAAATAAAAGAAAACTTGGTGTAGGTGTACGTACTTCCCGATCGATTTTTAAGCCCATGTCAATTGTTTTGGGGCAGCGTAGCCCCGCCCACTTTCAGTTCGCAATTGTCTAATGTGCGATAAGAAATTCACGCATTACGATGAGTCAGCTGAGAGTTATTTCCCAGAGCTGTCACAGCTTGTGCAACCTGACGATCGCAATACACTATAGACTGAATCCAGTTGTCTGACTCATCGGAATCAGAATCACTATTATCATCTAACTAAACAAATGCGGGCTCTAAATCAAATGACAAACTAGTGACAATTAAATAAATCAAAAACGAAAGTAAATAAACTCATTTCTAATGTAAATTACATTTATTCGATGGCGTTTTTAGCGAAGCATATTTACAGAGCGTGAAGCGGGTAGAAATTAATAGAATTAGGATAGATCGTTAAGAGTTAAAGTAAAGTAAATCGAACAAAATAATATATATATATATATGTGTGTGTGTATCGTTTTGCTAGGCAAATCATAATAATAAATAGCTAATTAGATAATTACAAAATAGCAATAACAAAATCTAGTCTAAAGAGCTCCCTCTTTGTCTCTCTGTTGCTCTACCTCTCTCTCTCTCTATCTCTCTCTTACACAATCTCCGATCAACAAACCGGCGCAACTTAGTATACTTATATATCATATAGATCTCTACAGCATAGATGCCTAAAGATAAATGGTCAACTTAATATTAAGTTTGGTTCTAGAAATCAACAAAATGTTTGCATGTTGCTACCGTTAAAGCTTCTTCTTCTTCTATTTCTTGTTGCTGTTGTCAGTTTAAGAGTGAGCGTGTGTGTGAGTGTGTGTGTGGGTGTGAGAGCGAACCTCGTATGCCTGCCTCTCGTCGACCCATGTTGATGCTGCGTATTATTAGCCTAGGGCGCACAGCAGCAGAGAGCTAGCAGCTCATTTGACTCACTTAACTTTAGACTTACTTAAAATTAAAGTTTATGTAGTGACTAAGGGGTTTTTGTTTAGGCTAGTAATAATACTACTAACATTGACTGTAGCTCCACAGTGTCGCAGTCCGCTGAGTCCCTAACGCAAGTACAATTACGCATATAACAAACAAATTTGAACTAGCTGCTGCTACGAGATCAGCAATCGCTGTTTGGCCGCTGCGCTCAGCGTGCCCAGTCCCGCGCCCTTTGTCGTGTTTGTTGTTGCTGTTGTTGTTGTGATTGCTGATGCAGGTGTCGCTGTTGCTGCTGCTGCTGCTGCTGATGACGACGATAATGATGATGCTGTTGATGATGATGATTTTGATGCCGCCAATAACGTGGGCGCCGGCTGCAGTGGCGCCGTTAGCGAATCCGTTGCAGGTGAATGGAGCGGCAATTCGTAGGCAATGCCACCCCAGTGCAGCTTAAAGGTGCGCGTACGCCAACGTATGGCCGGATTCCACAGGGCGTGCAGAAATAGATACGGCCCGGTCAGCTCCCGGAACAGCCAGCCGATGACAAACTCAAACTTGCCGAACGGCATCGACCCGTGCTGCACAATCGACAACAGCAGCCAGTCGGACAGAAGCCAGCACAGAATGTGCACCAAGTAAAACACCAGCGGATCCCACTTGAACAGCAGCGACGCCGACCAGGCGGCCAGTGCGCCCAGGATCATGCACTCGGACAGCGGCTCCAGCAGAATCGTCGTTGGCACCATGGCAACGCGCAGCTTGGCCCAGCGTATGAGTCGTGCCTAAAAAGAGAAGAACAAAAAGGAAATATGTGAAAATATTTATTATGCACTAATTCTCAAGTTGAGCAATTAATGGTAAATACATGCCAAATAAATAATACGTGATTAAATGGACATGATTGCACTTGTCGCACCTCGCACCTAATCAGCTGAATTATAGTTAAACAGAATCGAGCGATAAAGGCCGAAGAGTGGGCACAGTAAAATGAAATACTTGCAGATAAGCCGAGAACTAAAGTACTCTCGCTTTTTGAAGAGATGGAAAACTATTTCAATTCTAACATAAAAACTTGAATTTCAATGGAAAGCTAAATTATAGTTATTCAGAACTGAGATATATTGCTAGAAGATTAGATATAATCAGACATTTACGATATTCGTAGTGCCTATTAAGATATATTAAATAACTTCCGCATGAACAATCCATGCAAACTTAAGTTTCTAATAAGAAAAGACAAAAGCTATTTGCATATATTCGACCTTTCGAGCATACCTCAAACTGAATAGACTTTTGATATACTCTTGTGATATTTGATACATTAGAGGTTCGTCGGCCTTATGGTTGATATATGATATATGAGACTTTTATGGATTCCAGTTCATTCAGTTATGTATG